CGCACGCAATGAAAAATTCGAAATAATCATGAACGATGTTCAATTGCAGTAACTTAATTTCAATTCTTTCAAAATTTTCAGAATGAGTATCTCGAAATCGCGGACACTACCCTATTCGCTTTGCCGTGAATCGTGCGAGTGCTATCTACCGCACTGTAGATGTAGCGCAAATGTACTCGCCGATAATCTGAAGGTATCGCCGCTCTATCGTCAAAAAGAGTAAGTTGCTGTGTTTCGGTCAATGCAATATTGTCATTGTCAAACTTGCTTAATTCAACCCTTCTTGTCCCTATAATTGATGCTGCGGTTGTTAAGGTTGTTTGAGTCTTTGATGCGTATTCGTCTGATTGATTCGTACGTGACTATACACTCGTTAAGTAGGCATCTCGGCAGTCGTGCTGCCTTTCAAGAGTGTACATCAGTAGGTGCTTCTAGAGAGCCTAACGGTGATGTGAAAGCAACAAATACTATTGTCGAATTCGAATCAGATAGCTGAAGAAAAGCCATAAAATGCTCAATGTTAGCTGAATCAATTTAATCCACTTCGGCGATTACCATTCATTTTCGAGGAACAACAACTCGAACGATAGTGAAATGTTGTTTCTTCTCTTTAGAATAATAGATCAAAACAAGCTGAATAGCTAATAGATCGAAACAAGCTGAAGCTTTATACGGCTTGTTCTATTTGTTAGTATCAAACTGGAGTGTGTCACCGTTCCGTTCCGCCTTCTCTTCTTCGATTGCTAGACCAAATTTTCTCTTAATGGTTTCGGCTTTGGCTTTTTGATTGATGGGTATCGTTTCTGGGTTCTCGATTCAGAATCTATCATTGGATTGGCATCCATTAATTTCTTTTTCTGAGCATTCTGAGTCAACGGTAAAAATGTCAAATATACGTGTTTAGCAGTCTACAATTTCCGTCGCAAAAGCTGTCACGAAATTTACTGACTATGAATTCATTGACTATTTCCATCATTAGATCTAATAGTGTCTCATTTGACTTTCTTTTCTCGTTCATATGATTATGCGGTATTCGTTAGATTTTTCATATGATTATGCGATATTCTTTATTATCCATTTACTTTGCTCTCGATTACAGTAGGACTTCTTTCTCAAAACTCATTGTCAGTATTTTATTGAAAGAAAGTATTTTACGAAAACTTCGCAACAATTTCGATGAGCATGAAATTGCACACTTAAAAAAACGTCCACGAGAATTGTTACACCTATCGAGAGCTATTTGCACAACAATTCGAACTCAACCAATAGACTTTTTCAACCAAAATAAATCGCTGTTCTCCTCATTTTTTTTACCGCTCAACCGTTCGTTCCATTGAATGCTCGTGAATCTGAATCAACAAACACTCTTTTTGAATGTTCAGTAAATAATTTCACCAAATAATCGTTTTTGCAGTTCGGAAAGGTGGAACGCGGCAGTGTATTGCTATCAGGAGATGATGAGCAATCGTGATCAGTGCTGCACATCGCCACCCAATTCACCAGTCGATTTAGGTCCATTCCGTGCACTATCACTGTCCGGTTCGTCACTGTCAAAAACAGCTCATTAATTCCACACTGAAAAAGCACTCACAAAACCCATGCAACTTTCAATTTTTTGCCATAATTAACCCACGTTGAATCAGTCGGATATATGTTCTATCAATATGAACATCTGTAACATCCAATGGAACTCATTGTGTCCATGAAACTGATCATCGTATCGTAGTTGTTCGTTAATGAGACAGATCCTACTGTATTTCAGAGATATAAAAAATATCAACAGCCATTCCATTTTCGACCTATTCACATATCTTAGTGACCGCACAGCAGACATTCGATAGATGGAGTCAATTAATTCAAGCAAATGCCTTGAATCTACTTTTGAATTTTCAGGACACTCTTCCGCTTGCGCATCACCACCCCGTATCATGGATTCCAAATGTACGGCGAATCGTTCGCTGGGTAGCACCACTCTCATAAGGTTAGGCGTCTCTTCAATCACTTCATTGCTGTCTGTACTCTTATTGGTGCACACTCAACCAAATACAGTACTTGTAATCATCCTCGGATATTCTATATCGCATGCTGTTATGAATTTCATAGTTTTGCCATTGAACAATCACGAAAATAGTGCTGAACACCTAGAAGAGTTTGTTCAGTCCCCATAGCAACAAACATTTTCATGCGGCGAAATTTTGAGTCGTCATACGCCGCTTATTCCACATAGTGGGTTTTAACATGCAAATAATGCGAAAATATTCGGCAAAATAGAATTGCAAGGTTTGTTCCCGATCGCTTAGCAAATGTCAAGTTTTCGTGAGCTTGATCTCATCGTATCTCGGGAACATTTCTGTCCAATGCAGTGAGTGTATTTCCATGTTGTTATGAATTTATTCACAGTCTTTTACTGGCGACTGATCACTGATCATACGTTGTTGATCTGAGAAGCGATTCGCTTCAGTGATGATGTTTCTTCTTTTTTTTGTTTTTGTATTCGCAGAAGCCACAATGATATCTTCAGTGAACCTTAATTGGAGTATTTATCTAATTTAACCTGAGAATTTCTCAGTGAAGCTTATTGAACACGAAGCTGATCAGTCGAAAGCTTGAGTTTCCTCTTGTGTCAGTCAAGCCGATGACAAGATTGCTGCAAAGAATCACCTTAATTCCACGTATCATTCGAATTTCTGCCTTATTGCTGCATTAATATGCACAGTTGTTTGTGTGAATTCACACTGTCTCATGAATTTATACGGCATTAATATTCGATATCGGCAATTCCATACAGACCCTTCTTTCATATATCGTCTGCATGATACGTTGAACACCAACGCAATCGTCCGTCCTACTGCCTGCCTTCCACACGTCATTTCGGCTCCACACTTCTAATGTTTTCTTTCGGGAAGGATGGGTTAATCCAAAAAATAATCACATTTTGCATCATTGCACAAAGGGTGTTATGAATAAAAAATGGATCGCGTCATGTTTTGCTGATAAATCATAACCGCTTCGATTTGCAACAGAATGCTTCAGACTGAATGCGTGCTCTTTTTTAACATAAAGATGAATTTTGCAGCAAAATTAATCCAAAAAATCGAAGTAATCTGTTGTTTTTCAAAAAAAAGTTTTATCTTTATCACTGGATTTTAAGTGAATGCGATGAGTTACTTTGTTTGATTCAAATACAAGAGCAACAACTCAGAATGTGTTTCTGGGCAAAGCCATTTAATTGAGGATGAGATTCAATCTAGCGAGAAAATTAGAAAGTTCGTTTGAAATTATGTCATAATTTAGGAAAATTATGACTGTCAACTGAAATTGTCGAGCACATTCCAGCAGAAACTGTAGTTTACGTTCAGAATTCTGTTTGTTTGCTAATCGAGCTCTCTGCATGAGCTCTCTCTAGGAAATTGAATAATTCATCATGCGGTTCAATAATTTGTTTTTTTTCAAAATTATTATTGAAGGAGCACTTTCGAGAGCAGTTTACTTTTCATGTTTTCGTTTGTTATTGTCAATGAAGAATCGATCGACTGCCCATATCAAATGTCGTTGACAGAACTTATAACTTCGAAGACATTTCACAATAGCCATTTGTCATTTCTAATACCAAATGAATTCTTTTTGGTTTTTGCATTTGTTGCACTTCACTACGAGTGCATTAACTAAATGTTTCAAAGCTTGTGTCATTTTCTGATAGACAGCTACATAAATCAGTAGTTTTTCACTTGCCTCTTCAGTGTGTAAACTCGATGAAGTGTACTCAACTGATTAATACGCGACATAAGTCAAAGGGGAAAGAATTTCAAGCAGTCAAAGCATTCAAACAAAACGTTGCACACGAAAAAAGTAATTGCAATTTCAATTTTGCAGATAGAAACAGGCGACTGTAAAAATTGCAAAGTGTTGTACTTGTAAATTTTCTCAAATATGAAGTTTTCTCTCGGAATCGACAAGTTTTTTCGATTGCTGAATGCAATATTCTAATGAATGAAAACGATTTAGAGTAGCAGAGTTTCGCTTCACAATACCAGAATCATATACGAATTCCCATAGAACTGCAAACTGAATATGTACACATTCCATTACATATACACATTCCATAATCGCTTTTAGAACCAAAAATAGAAACGGTATGACTCAATAATACATTTTCATGATCGTATGAAAAAAAGTACAATAGTATGATCGTATGAAAAATCGTATGATCGGGAATGATCAGTGTTATTTATTGATGATCTCAGAACTCTGAATGAACTTGACTGAAAGACGCCAGTAAATTTTCAAACGTTTTCCGGTCACATGCTTTCTTGACTATCAATCGTTTCAGAGAATAACAACTCATGAAGTAAAGTTGTTGGATGATGGGTTGGCTTGCTGTAATAAACAAGTTTTTGTAGGAATGTGCATATCAGTTACTGATATAATGATTCATATTTGTATCTTTCCCATTTTCTCTGCAAATGCTATTAATAAGTTCCATTCGAACAGTCGAAATGATCATAAAAATTTCTCCAAAATATCATCCGTCGCTTAGAATACTTCAGTAATCAATTGCTTTGCTACTTATCACCAACATACTCTAACTCTCAATGTACAATTACCAAGGACATTACCGTACATACAATGTACCAAAAGCCGTGCACATTGCACCCTGATACTCCGATCATCAGTGATAACAGTTTCAACATTTTTGAGTTGTAACAACTGACTTCTTATCCGCTTTATTGTGAGTGTACATTTGGAAGTGAATAGTCGTGTCAGACAAATTAGGTGTCCAAAATGATTCAGTTGAACTTTTTTTTTCTTGAGATGTTTCTCATTTTCGCAACCGTTCTGTTGAGTTCATGTTGGGTTCTGTTCGGGTTGAACTAAGAATAATGCTGGAACATTGTGATTCTTTTAAAGAAAACAATTTTCAAAACAAGTTAGAAGAACTTTTAGCAAGGTGCTGAGGTTGACTAATTGAGAGAAATCAAATGTTGATGCATCAGTTTGATGAATGAGTGCGATAGTGCAACATTCTGCAAGAACCATTTAATTTTTTGCGAATAAACGAGACCAATCGTGAACCGCATATCAATAAAAACTAGTCTAACGATAAGATTTGAGATCATGCTCTGTGTTCGTCTTCTGCAAACGCTTTAAACAAAAAATTTTCTGCATAAGCAGCAAAAGCAAATATGAAATCACGTCATAAAGACGAACGCGAATGACGTTTCGTTGAGGAATGTAATGCTTGAATGTGTGTTCTAGCTATCGGCATCATACTTGCGATTGCCATTCGAATCCGCATCAGTATGTGATTATTTTTAGCTTATATCATTCATCCAATTTGTTTACTTAGTCTGATAAATAACGATTGCGATGATGTCGTTTCAATTTGATGACTTTAAAATTTTTTTTGATGGTTGTGATTAATTTGGAGAATCTGTCATTGATGGCTACAGCAGCAATAGAACTGTGCACATTTCGTTTATTTAGCAAAAAGCCTTTTGAATGCGTTTGTGACAATAAACTTATTATCAGATGATAGCGCTTAGGTGGCGAATGTTGCAGTGATGACTACTTTTGTGAATAAAGCATTCAGCAAGAGAGTGACAGGATGAGATTATGCCATCAATTGATCCAAAATTGAGTGCAAATCAAAGAAAAATACAATTTGAAATGGAAATTTCAGCTTATTCATCTTCAGAATCAACTCTGCTTCCTCACAGCTGCACTATATCCGAACCGCGTTCAGCTTGAAGTGATCAATCCTATATCTCCATCCACTTCACTGTTAGCAACTGTTAGGTGATAGCCGTTGAGACCTGGCCAGACATGCCTGCCGTTAAATTGTTTACATAGCTAGACTGATTCAATCAAAAATGTTTTATGAAGGAAGGAAATGAATTGAGAAAAAAAATCTCATTCAATGGTACGAATGCACCCAAAAAATTTAATGGTATTATCAGTTTTTTGGTCCATATCTGTCTCAATTTAATAGTGGCCATTTCAGTTTATTACTTTATTAACGACCGATCAAGTTGTGCTGCGGAAAATCGTGTTCATGTGTGATTATCGCTGGGCATTGATGATGTTTTGATTGTATCAATCAATTTCAAATGCATTATTAGTGTGATTGATGAGGTGCTGCATTTGGCAAACTTGAAAATTTTATGAAGTGTTTCGACGATTCACTGTCACCATGAACGAAGTAAACACCTTGCATTTCCTTCTTCGTAACCATGTGACATGCGTGAGTGATTAGGGTTCAGATCCTTGACAACAGGCCTTTAGAGAATTGTCTTATTGTTAGCCACATTATCAATATCAATTCTCGACAGTGCGAAGTAGTCATGTTTACGATGATATCATTTCGGCATTGTAAACACCAACATATATGGAAAAAAAATTGTTTTCCTATTCATTGAACACTTCACAGTGAAATCCCGATACATTCAGCGATGATCTTCATCAAAACCATACAACTGCAGCAACATATATATATCACTCCAATTTTCTGCTTAAGTTCAACTCACTTCAATATAACTGCTAGTAAGAGCATGTTGGCCGAGAATAATCT